AAAAATAAAAGTATAAATAGATATAGGGCTATAGAAATAGTATATTTTTTCAGTTATTTGTAGTAATGCTATTAAGCTACGTTCAACAATCTGCATATATGTCTTTATTGACTAGATACGGAAGAAGATATAATAGATATAGGGCTATAGAAATAGTATATTTTTTCAGTTATTTGTAGTAATGCTATTAAGCTACGTTCAACAATCTGCATATATGTCTTTATTGACTAGATACGGAAGAAGAAAACCGTTCTTCATCTTCCTAGGGGCGCAGTGTGTGGTCGGTGTGGTGACAGCTTTCGCACCAGATTTTTCATCCTTTACAATTCTCCGGTTTTTCATGGGAACGACAGTGCCTGGAGTTTTATCGTCCCCATCAGCCTTAGGTAAGCATTATAAAGTGAGACTGGATAATGACCTGTCTTGATAAATTAGAAATGAGTATACGACTTCTGACGTTCGTAAAATCTCCTTTCACAGGCATCCATCTAAAAGGACTTTACTCTATGTATTTTTTTTCTATAAGACAGGGTTGTCCAAAAGTTAGTTATTGCTACACTTAAATCTTTACAGTGTGAGCAAAATTTTATTTGCGGCACCAAAACCCATTTGCTGTTGTTGTTACAAATCTCTGTGCCATGCTTTAGTGAGGTTCACTTATCCTCGTTGAAGGTAAGAATAAAACAGTACTCATATTATTGTTTTGCATTACTTACGGAATCTTGATAAATTACAGAAAGGTGTCACGATCTTAGCTTCTTTTACACACACACACAAACACGCATAGTCGTTTTTTTTTGTTTTTTTTGTTTTCCCTGCAAAACTCTATTTGTTTGTGTGTGTGTGTGTGTTTTACAGCAAAGGCTATCTGCTGTGTCCACCGAGAGCAGTCGAACCCCTAACTTTAGCTTTGTAACTCCGCAGACTTTCCGCTATCCCACCAGGGGACCCTGTGTAAGTTACCCTTTTTTTGTCTTCCTGTGTAAGTTAACTCTTTTCCTGCCCCTGAAACAACTTTATATGTTCCTGTGTGAATCAACTACATCTATGCTCCTACAATTTATAGACCTTATAACAACACATTTCAGCTTTGATCAGCAGAACAAGCTCAGCAATCATTATATCCCAATAATTAGGCTTAAATCTTATGAACCTTGTAGCTTAGTAAAGCCATAAGAGTACTGATTATTTATCTCATAAAATCATAAAACTTGATTACAACTCAAGTTTCGAGTAACTAATAAAAAAAGATTATACTGATGCTCAGAAGAAGAAAAAAGTTTGTATCAGCTAAAAGACGATAAAAATTTTACAGATAAAAACTATTTCCCTGGCTTGATACTTTTAACATATTGTTTTTACTTCGAATCTAAGCCATGAAATCTGTTTAGGAAAATTAATTTAATAAGGACATATTTTTATCTAAGGCATAAACATTCATTCTTTATTAATATATTTGGGTGGTGTATAGTTAAACGCGCAATCAATCCTGTATACGTTCATTTTATTCAGCAGGGAAAATATATTAAAGAAAGAGAAAAATTAAATTGTACTAGAAAGCCAATAAAGATTTTTTTTCATTTACTTATTCAAGACAAAAAAAAACTAGTTAAAGTTATGAAAAATATTTGCATTCTTTCTAGCAAAGTACACGCATTACAGAGCCTAAAACGTAGGTTTTTCCAAGTGCCAGCTCTCAGAACAAGACCATCGATTCCTCTCGGTTGATGTTTGCTCTGTTTAGGCGTGCAGTAACAAATAGTTCATCTGAGATACGTTAGATGTAGATAACGGAAAGTCGATGCATAAAAGAAAATCTAGTTTTCCTTTTTATATAGTTTATGTGATGAGTTAAACGTGCATGCGATGGCTCCGTGTGCATGAACGAGCTTTTTGAAGCATTTATGTAATATTACTTTTAAATTGAACTTTCTAATTTATTCAGTACAGTGAGAACTTTTCAAAATTTTTTAGTTTGATGGCTTCTCTTGCGCTGTCTGTCTGTCTGCTTGTTTATAACTCAGTTTATTTATTGTTCTCGGTATTTGAAAAGTTTTGTTCCTATTCAAGTAGGTGAGATATTTTTATGTAATAATTAGTTCCAATAGAAGGGATTATAACCAGAATTAAATATAGGCGTCTCTTGGATGCAACTTTGTTCATCCAGATAGTTAGAATTAAAATTTTGTTGTTGTTGTTGTTTTCTGTTTAGATAGACTAACAAATTAATTTTTTTTTATCAATGATGTACATAATGCTGTTTTATTTAGCACGGATTTTCTTCAATCATTTAAAACTAAACTGCTGGATAGAAAAATAAACTATTTGTTTAGAAATTCTGAATATCCTTCGTTTTTTTAGAGTAAAAAAGCAATGGAATTATAAATGACTCTTTATACAAAAATTCCTTTGTGAATTGCGACAGAATACCTTGTGATTTGTGGCTTACATTTATCTCTACAATTACGAATATATGTATTAAACGGAGGTAGATTATAAGCTGAGGAGCAATATCTTATTTTCTGTTATTCTATAGCTACACATGTTTGTAGCTTTCTAGATCACATCACCGAACATGCTCGCCTTTTTGGCTGTGGTGGCATTATGTGACGGTCAATCCCACTATTCGATTAGAGTAGCCCAAGATTTGGCTGTAGGTGGTGTTGACTAGCTGTCTTCCCTCTAGTCTATCACTTCTAAATTAAAGATGGCTAGCGAAAATAGCTCTCGAATAGCTTTGCGCAAAAGCCAACAAACATACATTCTAAATTTTATTTGGATCTACTTTATTGTTGTCGTACATGACAGAAATGACTTCCTAGCAAGCAGTGAATTACTTAAACTGTATGATATAAAAATATTTGTTTCAGATTTAGTAAAACTCTTGTTATTGTACGAAATATTGAAATTACTACGTATTGTTTTGCTCTATAAAAAACTAAGGACCTTTGACTCTTTTCTAAGTTCTTTGCTTTCTAATCTTTTAGATTTGTCCTTACTTTTTCACAACATGGAAGTCGTGATTTTTATACATTGTCTGAACATTTTTAAGAGTTTATATCTCATTTTTAACTCCAATAACATTGATGCTATAACTAGATTTTTAAAGATCTTATTAACCTGGTAACTGATAATTTTGTTGTAGCCCGTGAAATTGTGGGTTCTCCTTATCGGGTGAAGATTTGGTTCGTGAGCACTGCAGCCCGGAGTCTGGGAGTCCTACTTCTTGCTCCCATTGCTGTATTGATTCGAGATTGGACCCTACTTTCTCTGACCACTAGTCTTCCCTTTGTGGCTTTCTTTTTCTACTGGTGGTAAGCTTTTTTCTTTTTTTAGTTTCCATGTTTTGTTCCTGATCTTTCAATTCTCCATGCCCTTTCTTAATAGAGAGCTGAGATGCGATGGAGTTATTAGTTTGAAAGCCGTAAATACCAGATAATATATTACACTAAAAAGAGTTTCTGAGTTTTCTTATACGAGAAAGAAAACGTTCGACAAATGATATATCTGAACAAAAGCTTTTCTTTGTTAAACTTATTCTCTCGTTGCATTCACACTGGCACGAAATCCATTAGATACAACAGATGAATGTCCATCGACAGGTGCTTCAAAAACGAAATGGAGTTTCAGTCAACAGAGCAGCAACTTCGTTATTTTTTACTTTTCTTGTTTTTTTCTCTCTCTTCTCCTTCACCACTCTGAATTTAAGGTGGAGAAAAAGAGCTTTTCACAGAATTCTGTTCTATAAATCAGATCTTAGTGATAGGGAAGAAGAAGCACTAAAAATATGACAACAGTTGTATAGTCTTCTTTGTTCAACTTTCTCATGAAACCATTTTACAGGACACAACCACTATCGTGTGAGATTGGCAGTCGTGGTATCAAATGAAAAAAATATGTGAGAACTTAATAAAACAGATTCTACTATCCTGGCACCACCGTGGGTCATGTGACTATCACTACTTTGTTAAATCTTGTCCTTAGATTTTTTTTATAAATTGATTAGGAACATTTATTCATCATTTGTAAAACAGACAAATAGCTGTGACAAGTGTTATATATCAAGTTATACATATACGTATATATTTGTAACTTAGTGACGTAATAATTATGTTAGAACCACTACTGAACTGTTAAATCACATCTTAAAAACTCAAAAAATAAACTACCAAGTATTTATCTTTTTTCTATAAATACACGAATTGATCAATAAAAAGGTGTATGTAGAACTTCTGGAGTTCAAAGCTGAGGAACTCAACTCAAAAATAGAAACTTACCAACATTTCTATCTGACTTTGTATAAAGTTAGTAAGCTATGTAAAAAGGTGAATACAAATTTGATTCCCGCAAATTAGCAATGTCATATTATTAGAAAAGTTCAAAGATCAAACGGGAGCTGATGAACAACGTCTGCATTTCCTCGAGCCTTCCCCAAGCTATAATGTAATAAAAGATCTATATACGTATCAAGATTTTGAAGGGAATTTAATAATAAGTATGTAGTATCGATGGAACAACGGAACCTTTATATATCAAAGCCAATTCATTATGGAAAATGCCAGGATACGATGGAATTCCAGGAGAGGATATTCATAGTGGAACAAACAAGTGCTCGCAAAACATTAATTAAGTACTTGCCAGACTGTCTCGACGAGCTAAACTTGTGCTGAATTACGTCTTACAGTAATAAAACGAACATAATATAGGGTACTCTAACTTGCTGTAAATTATATTAATTAAAACCAGAAAGTGATGTTAATTGTTTTTTGTTTGCATCTGTCAAAGGTTTCTCTATACATTTTATGCTAGTTTTTATGACTCACAATTTACATATTTGTATATTTTAATTCAACAGGCTATAAAGACTTTAGCACCTCGTTATTATTTCTGTAATGTCGTATATCATGATGCTTTAGATGCTTTAAACAACATCAATAATTATATTAATTATTTTTAAAATGTATCAGAAATGTACAAAAGATAATGTGTTTATACATTAACACGTTTTTTTTTTGTTTAATTTGTTTAAAATAGATTAATAATAGCGGCTAGTTCAAAGTTTAAAATTTCTATTAACATAGTTGTAAGTTTAAAAAAGCTGTTTTCAGGAAAGATTTGATTAAATATAAATACTTTACATATATTAAAGTTATGTTCTAATATATAAGAAATATACAGGGTGTCCGAAAATTATGTTAACAGATTTAATAACATTTATTACTGACTTTGTTTATATTCTTGTTACGCTGCCATGACATTTCATGCATACTGTAGTGTTAATTTAATATAACTGTAGTAGGTATTGTAGTAATTATTCAAGGCTCCAGTCCCTGAAACACAAATAAACTGGAGCATGAAATTTTATTGAAAATGAGTATTGAAGTAAAGCAGAAACTGTGTTGAATATTAACTACTTAGTGTTGAATATTAACTACTTAATGTTGAATATTAACTACTTAGTGTTGAATATTAATTAATTACTGTTCAATATTAACTACTAAGTGTTGAATATTAATTACTTAGTGTTGAATCTTAACTACTTAGTGTTGAATATTAACTACTTAGTGTTGAATATTAATTACTTACTGTTTAATATTAATTAATTACTGTTGAATATTAATTAGTTACTGTTCAATATTAATTACTTACTGTTGAATATTAATTACTTAGTGTCGAATATTAACTACTTAATGTTGAATATTAACTACTTAATGTTGAAAATTAACAACTTAATGTTGAATATTAACTACTTAGTGTTCAATTGAAGTACTTATTGTTGAATATTAATTACTTAGTGTTGAATCTTAACTACTTAGTGTTGAATATTAATTACTTAGTGTTGAATCTTAACTACTTAGTGTCGAATATTAACTACTTACTTTTGAATATTAACTATTTAATATTGAATATTAACTACTTAGTGTTGAAAATTAGCTACTTAGTGTTGAATATTAACTACTTAATGTGGGATATTAAATACTTACTTTAGTTAATGAATTATGTTTTAACATGGTTACCTACTATTAGACCTTTTTCTCCTAAGAAATTAGAGCATCTCTTTCACGTTTCCGTTTTTAAGCCTCTAAATATTACTGATAGTTTTTCAAAAGTAGATCATAAAACTGGTGACGAATTCATTCTTAGGAATTACTAGGGTTTCCCAATAAAGACATTGTGTTCATGAAAGTAAACCAGTTTCTGATAATTTACTAAATATTACTCACATGTAACATTTCTGAACGAACCTAATTTTAAAAAATTGCACGTCAACATTTTATCAATAACTCTATAATAGTCATTCTATAACGAAACAGTCGTTAGGGTTCTTCCAGAGTCGCCTCCTTGGCTCATCACAAGAGGGCGCTTTCAAGAAACCGGACGTCTTTTATGTAACATCTCCCAAACCAATGGAAAAAATATTTCACCAGATTTCATAGTCAGCCTTAAGGTAGGAATTCATGATGATTTGAACTTATGAAATATTACAGCCTTTAAATTGCACTTACTTACGAATAATTCTAATACATAAAAAAACTTCAAATCTGGAAATAAAAATTAATACTTCATAAAAAAATATACTATCATACGTGGATACAAATAGGACCCCAGCAAACAACTAAAAAGTTCTAACCATAACAAAACTTATTTATTTTAAACTTATCAAGGCAATCCAGCTCTATTTCTACATCTTTACAGTTTGAATGATTATTGCAATACTTATTATAATAAATTAGTTTAATTACTGATTACATGATAGATGTAGCAAATACATCTGATCTGAATAAAGAACAAAATACTCATGTATTTGTAAATAAAGTCAGAAAAACATTTTTTTGATGGAAAACTAATTCAACTTTATGAAGTGAGGATCTGATTCCATTGCATTAATAGGGTTTTAATTTTAAGTACGAGGAAACTTCTTCTTCAGTATAACTTCATTAAAACAATGATGTGTATGTTCCTTTAACTTTTGTGTGCTGCTTAAAAGCTTAAGAGTGGTAATTTTTCATCGAGAGTGTTATATTATGGAGAATTCAAATAAAATATAAAGCACTTTTTATGACATTACTTCTTCATAAATGCATGATTCAACTCAAGCAATTGGATGACAATCTTTGATAATTTACAGATTAAAACAGTTATGTTTATTGACGCTTCTAACAGTGAAACTGAATACGCCATAACGTAACAATGCAGTTCGTATTCATTGATTTTCTTTACAACATTTAAAGGGTTCTACTTGACTTCCAACAGTTGAACTCTACTAACCAACAGTTCTGTTCAACAGTCCCACAGCTGTGCTTTACTGTCTAACGGTTCTGTTTATATTTCCAACAGATGTGCTGTACTGTACAACAGTTCTGTTTAACAGTCCCACAGCTGTGCTTTACTGTCTAACGGTTCTGTTTATATTTCCAACAGATGTGCTGTACTGTACAACAGTTCTGTTCAAATGTCCAACAGCTGAACTGTACTATCCAACAGCTGAACTGTATTATCCAACAGTTCTGTTCATATGTCCAACAGCTGTGCTGTACTATCCAACATTTCTCTTCATATGTTCAACAACTGTGTTGTACTGTCCAACAGTTCTGTTCATATGTCCAACAGCTGAACTGTATTATCCAACAGTTCTGTTCATATTTCCAACAGCTGAACTGTACTATCCAACAGTTCTGTTCATATATCCAACAGCTGAACTGTATTGTCCAACAGTTCTGTTTATATGTCCAATAGCTATTCTGTACTGTCCAACAGTTCTGTTTATATTTTCAATAGCTATGCTCTACTGTCCAACAGTTTTGTTTATATGTCCAATGGCTATGCTTTACTGCCCAACAGTTCTGTTTATATGTCCAATAGCTGTGCTGTACTGTCCAACAGTTCTGTTTATATGTCCAATAGCTATGCTCTACTGTCCAATATTTCTGTTTATATGTCCAGTAGCTATGTTCTACTGTCCTTCGGTTCTGTTTATATTTCTAATAGCTGTGCTGTACTGTCCAACAGTTCTGTTTATATGTCCAGTAGCTATGTTCTACTGTCCAACAATTCTGTTTATATTTCTAATAGCTGTGCTGTACTGTACAATAGTTCTGTTTATATTTCCAATAGCTGTGATCTACTGTCCAACAGTTCTGCTTATATGTCCAATATCTATGCTCTATTGTCCAATAGTTCTGTTTATATGTCCAGTAGCTATGTTCTACCGTCCAACAGTTCTGTTTATATTTCCAATAGCTGTGCTGTACTGTACAATAGTTCTGTTTATATGTCCAATAGCTGTGATCTACTGTCCAACAGTTCTCTTTATATGTCCAATAGCTATACTCTACTGTTTTCAGAAACATCTTCAAAAGTAATATGGTAACGTTGCGCCGAATTTTATCATAAATTATGTCATTGAACGGTGAGGTTATTGTGTTGAGTGGTCATTTCACTTTTATCTACGGTTCTAGGCTATCCCTTGGAATGTTCAATGATAGCATAGAAAAACTGCATTATTCTATATGATAAAGTGTACCATATACAACAGAACCGAAGATTCGTTCAGTTGTAATTATTAGAATTCTCTTTGAAGTATTTACTATTGAAAGAAACTGCTATGGTTTTTGTATGTTTCATCATTCTAAAAGTACTCAACTGGGATACTGAAAAGATCTATTAGAATTAAAGAACTTTCGATGTGTTTAAGAATGTCTTTCAAGACAATTCTTTCTTGGAAGCATGCAAAATAACCATTTCAAGCTTGCTTCGTTGGATATTAATACAGTATCGTTTAAAAAATTATTGTCATGTTTGTATTATTCTACGTTTTATATTCATTTCTTCTGAAATCACTTGTATGGGACGAACTTTTTATTGAATTCTAACTTTCTTTCAGAGAAAATTCCGAATAGAAACAGCTTTACAGGATGGCAGCACTAAGAAAGCCGAGCCAACGCTACTCAATCTTTTCTACACACCAAACCTATGTAGAAAAACATTACTCATAATGTCCATCTGGTTAGTAGTAATATCTTAACATTGTTCATCTGGTGAGTATTTTAATGTGTTAACATTGTTCATCTGGTGAGTATTTTAATGTGATAACATTGTTCATCTGGTGATTATTTTAATATGATAACATTGTTCATCTGGTGAGTAATTTAATATTTTAGCATTGTTAATCTGGTGAGTATCTTAACATTGTTCATCTGAAGAGTATTAACATTTTACCTTTGTTCAAATGGTGTGTTTTAACAAGTTAACATTACTCATTATTGAGTATTAGCATGTTAAGTTTTTTTCTGGTAAATATTTTACCATGTTAACATTGTTCAGCTGGTGAGTATTAACATTTTACCTTTGTTCAAATGGTGTGTTTTAACAAGTTAACATTGCTCATTATTGAGTATTAGCATGTTAAGTTTTTATCTGGTAAATATTTTACCATGCTAACATTGTTCAGCTGGTGAGTATTAATGCTGTTTTGGTGTGTATTAACATGTAAAAGTTGTTCGCCTGTTGAGTATTAACGTGTTAACATTGTTCTTCTGATTACTGTTAACATGGTTAAAATCTTTCATGGACTGATTATTACATGTTAACATTGTTCCACTTGTATTAGCATACTATTATTATTCGCTTACGTACCCGTAAACTCGAAACTTTGTACATTTTGATATCAACATGCTAACGTTGCCTGTCTATATATCTTGAAGCACGAGATATGTTTTCACTTTAGTATTATTGTGTTAACATCGTTTATCTACATGCTATGGATTTGAAACATCTTATACCCTCTGGTACTAGCATGATGTCATTGTTTATCTATAGAATTCAAAACCCAAGGAACTTTATTCATTTGAGTTCTTAGATGCTAACACTGTTTACTTATATATATATATATCATAAAACACTAACATTTTGTACGTTTGAACATAAAGTTGCAAGTATTATGTTTAGATACACTGGCAATATACTCTAGAAAAAAAATACTTTGTACACTAGAATATCAGTATATTAACAACTAGCTGGAGTATCCGTCTCCTAGACGGAAGTTATGTAAATTCATAATTAATGAAAGGTTATCTTAGGACATGAAAAGTTGCTTTCCTTATATGTAATTGAAAAAAAAAAAGCTCAAAAAACGCCCATAAAAACACAAAATTTGAAACCGCAAGTTTGCATGTATCTCCGCATGGACCCAACAAACCGAAATAGTTACATGGACATACAACAGGCAAAAGACAGTTCTATTATATATATATTTGTGTGTATATATATATATACATACATATATATATGATATATCCCATGGTTCTAACAGTTTGTACGTTTCAATATTAGCTAGTCGATATTTTTACTGTATACTCTGGAACATAAATACTTCGTAACAATTGAGTTAATTCCATTTTTGAAACAAAAATACTTCATTATTCCCTTTCTTAACATTTTCAGTTTTATATAACATAAGCTCTTTTCCCTTTGTTTTTATTCATAAAGTCTACTGTACGGTCGATGTTCCTAGTTATCGCTAATGGAAAATCTTTGACCGAACGCATAACTTTCAAGACTCTCTAGATTTGATCTAACATGCGAAATAACAATTATTATCCTAATGCATTACATCCAAAAAGGCAGTTTAACGAGCCAATTCTTCCACATCATAATGATTTGAATAGCATATTTTTAGTGGAAGAATGTTGGGCAGATGTTTTTATTGGTAATATTTGTCTTGTTCTTATTGGTTTTTTAAAAAAAAATATAAAACTAAACTAAAACTGTATAAAATTCGTCGAAATATCTCTTGAAGAAGATGACTGTGCTTATCAAAAGGGAGGGATAGGCGTTTTATTTTCAGCTCGTTTATATTGATTACATTAATGTGGTTGGACAATGCAAATTTTATAGACCATTAGTGAGAGTGGATTGGTGAGATCAAATATTTTGTGATCTCAGTTTTGTTTTTGTATTGTGTGTGTGTGTGCGTGCTTTCACGATAATTGGACAAAAGTTATTGGCACAAATAAAATCGTTCAATTGCTTTTCATTTCCAGAACAAATTTTCTTTTCCCCTCTTGCGACCTAAAATGGCTTTAGATTAGAATTTCCATTTACGGTTTTATTTTGTTGTCGTAAGAAAACCAAGCAGTGTTTTACTGATATTTTCAGACTGTATCTCTGTAAGAATCATTCCAAGAAACAACTGTCATCCTTATAAAACTATGAGATCGAATACTCTATTTTTTTTTTAGCCTTAAAAGCTTCTTATCCATTTCAATGTCTTTTTTTGTTAATTTATTTCATTTGAGCTCATCTAAGCTGTACAGATAGAAAAAAAAATACAATCATTCAATAGTTTAATCCCATATTTTAATGTCTATGCAAATTAACAATTATCATTAAAAGTATTTATGATTTTTTCATTGACCAAGTAGAACTACTTGTTTGGCGCATCTTTTTTTGTAAAAATCTAACAACATTTGCCATCATAAAAGCGCCGTTTCATTTGATCCATTTTACAATTTTTCGACATTTTAGCTCATACTTGATCGTTGTATTTAGCTGATCTGTTCTTTAACTAACTTTATTACACAAAACTTTCTATATTTAGTGTCCCACGGTGGGTTAGTGTTAAGTTTACGAACTTACAACGCTAAAATCGGGGGGACTCGTTTCCCTTAGGTAGACAGAGTGCAGATAGCCCGTTGTGTAGCTTTGCACTAAGAATAAACATCAATCTTCGTTTATATTTGGTGTTTTATAAACTCATTGACAAGTAACTTTTACAAATATTTCTTATATAAATTTTTGTTTGAGAAAAGTTTGTTTTGATCAAGCTTGGTGAAATACAACTCATCACAGCAAATGTTGAAATTTAAATTTCATGTTACAGGTAAAATATTTTCCAATAAAAACATTCATCACAACATTCATGTTTATTATCCTGTTAAAAATTAAAAAGTTCTACACCCTTTCCATCAAACCCGGCATGGTCAGGTGGTTAGGGCGCTCGACTCGCAATCTGCGGGTCGCGGGTTCGAATCCCCATCACACACACATGCTCGCCCTTTCAGCCGTGGGGCGTTATATTGGTGCCAATCAATCCCACTATTCGTTGGTAAAGTTGGCGTGGGTAGTGATGACTAGCTTCCTTCCCTCCAGTCTTACACTGCTAAATTAGGGACGCGTAACGCAGATGGCCCTCGTGTAGCTTTGCGGGAAATTCATAACAAACAAACAATCCATAAAACCTAGGAGAAAAAATCAGTAGTAAGTTTTCTAGAAAAAATAAACTATTTACAAATCTATAGTATGGCGTCGAGATAGATACAAACCTATCATAGGTTGTGTACAGACTGAAATCTGGTCATTTCAGAAAATTATACCACATAAATATTCAATAGGTGACCTTCACGACTCAATTGACATTTGTTTTCAATCCACTAATATTTTTTTTTCAGGTTGTTGAATTCTACTTCCTTCGTTGGATTAACATATTATGCGTTTGAAATCGATGAACACGTCAACTTAAACTATTTTCTTGCGTGCTGTGCAGAGTTTTTAGGGGTAATATTGCCCTTATGTTTCTTACATCAGTCAAGTCGACGATGCTCAGTAGTAGCGTCCTCTACCATTAGCGGTGTGCTTCTCTTGGCCCTTCTCAGTCCATCATTAGGTAAGTAGTACGATTCTACATAATCTATCTTAAGAACGTAGTATAATCCTACACTGACCATCATTAGGTAAGTAGTACGATTCTACATAATCTATCTTAAGTACGTAGTATAATCCTACACAGA